AGACAGTCCAGAGACCAAAATAATCAGGAAATCATCCGCATGAAACTGAAAGATGTAGGTGAAGGAAAGTAGTAATGCATATGTCAACATCAGCAATACTAATATTCACTATAAGCTAAATTGAGCTGAAGTGAAGTTCCCTTCTTATGTGCAAGCGTTGAACTGTGATTTATTCAGCACACCCAAACTCTGGGGTTATTCCCATGAGTCTTAATCTTTCTCTGTCCCTTTCCAGCAACAGATCGCCTTTACATTTCCTGTATTAGTGGAGTTACTCACACAGGAGATAAAAGAAGGGTTGTCTGGAGATAGGGAAGAGATATAAAGACATCTGAACTTAGAGAAAAGCTAAAAATACAAGCATAAAAGAGCCACTGTGCCACAACTATACTGCCAAAGAAAAAACTGATATGTTGTGTAATAATGTACACTCTGTGAATATGAAGGAATCTGGCTCTGTTCTAGGTGAAAATGAGACCATATACTACTTACTTTCTTTGACTACTTCTGCAGAGCTTCCAGCATTTATTTTTCACAAATTGACAATATATAAAAGTACTAACAAAAATGATACCTTGAAAGTTACGTACATTAATAGTCAATAATTCTTTATTCATTTTACCTGGAAAAACTTCTTCCAAATTGCTACAAGGAAATTAGTATTTTACTCAGAATTTATCTCTGAAAACTCACTAACCTCTCAGTTTTCACTCATATTCTTTTCTTTGAAACCATAATGACTCTGAAGAATCCAAAAGATCATCTTATGACCCATTTTGTAGTCCAAAGATGTACCTCCGGTCAGTCAAATCCAAAGCAGTTCATTTACAACACTCAGTGTTTCATTGCATTGATGTTCTAACTCATGAACAAGAAAAGCAGTGAAGAAAGGTAAAGTTCTCTACAAATTACGTTAGAACACAGACTCCTTGAGAATTAAACTCTGATTTATGTACACTGCCTATTATGAACATTTATAGTGAGTTATAATTGCATGTGGAAAAAACTTTTGCTAAAATGAAATCTAGTCTTTTAAGACAGTAGTTAAAATGGATGTTTACATCAAGAAAGGGGAAGAGATAAGAGACAGACTATTCCTATCAGTAAGATTTAGAATCCTAAAAGGAAGAAAATACAAAATTACAAGTGGACTCTGTAATGCTAAAATAAATTTTATAATTTTGAACTCTGAATGTGTCTCATTTACTACGCTAGATGTTTCATTTAACTATGGCTTCCAAAGTACATAATTCATATTCCTAGAATTCATCTTAGATTTTGCCTGTTACAGCTAACGCTAGATACTAAGTTATTTAAGTAAGTTCACTTTTCTTAAGATTGTTGAAGATTTTCTCATCAAAGTTTGTAACATCACTTCTGAATGTAACTACATAAAAATAGTGCTGGGGTTTGTGGCTTTATTTTTGTTGTTCCTTTTTATTTGTTTGTTTCATTTGTTCTTTGTTTGGATTTCTTTTTTTTTTTCTTTTTTTTTCCACAATAGAGAGAAGAGGAAAACCTAGGCCTGGGATATTCTAAGTGGGGCAAAGGCAGGATCCCCCAAATCCTAAAGTGTTGCACAAGGCACAAACATGGCATCACAGTACAGCTCTGCTTTTCATAGCACCCGTATAGTAAATAAAAAGAAAAAGCTAAATCTTCTCTCCACTTTATTGACCCAGAGGATCCTACTCAAGAGTTATATACGAAAATGTAAATTTATTCTCAAAGGGAAAATATTTCCCTCTAAAACAATACGTACAATACATATTATCACAGTATACATAGGAGTCTGGAGATCCCAGGATGAATATCCATAGCAGTACTTTTGTCCAAAAGATAGAGGAATAATTATAAAATTGGAAAGCTTTCAGTCCAAGTGATGGTTATTTTACATCAGTGCTATTTGGATGCAGATAGAGTCAAGATATATATTCCTAGAGCAGTTCTGAAGTCCTCCAAATGGGAGATTTTAGTTCTTTATTCTGGATATATAGAAAAATATTACTCAGAGCACCATCCAAAGATTTATATTTCAGCCAAATGCAAGAAGTATAGATAGAAATGAAGATAATTATATGTATCAGCCAGTTTAAATGATTTATAACACTAATGCTTACCATGTTACAGTTATTATTTTTTTTCCACCTGGGATGCGTTCTTTCTTGTTAACTTAAGACTAGAAGTTTTGATATCTCAGTTATAGCCAACAGACAGATTTCAACTTAAAAATTCTATAGTATCTGTAAAGGTGGAGAATTCTTGTCCTAAAAAGTTTTAGAGTTTTAAAACTCTAAGGGTGCAGAGCCATGTGTTGTTATCGGATCTTTTCAACGACTTTTAATAACTTGCAGCATAAACACAGATTCCATTAATTATAATAGGAATTATATTCAAAAGCAATAAAAAAGCCCATATAGTTTATATTCCATTATCCTGACAAAAAATTAATGACTAAATACATATTTCTAAAGGCCAGACACTGTGTGTCTTTGAAGGACAGTCAAGAGAACCAAGTGTCCTTAGCAATTTTTGTTTTTTCTCATCTAGGAAGATGAATTTTCAGAATACTGTTTGATTAAACATATGTAATCACTGTTACAAAACAGTTTTCCAGTTCTTTGTTGATGATATATTCCTAGGATCTCAAGTTGAAAATACTCTAGCTAACATTTTACAGTGGCCATCTAGTAGATTTTACATCTACTTCTGTTTATGACACAATATAAGATGAAAGAAAAATTATTAAATATATCTTAATTACAGAATATATATACTCATAATGTCAGGCTTTCTTCTGCAAAAGAGTGGTCAGGCACTGGAACAAGCTCTCCAGGAAAGTGGTGGAATCATCATCACTGAAGGTGTGCAAGAAACGTTTAGATGTTGTACTGAGGGACATGGTTTAAATGGGAAATATTGGTGATAGGTGGACAGATGGACTGGATAATCTTGGAGTTCAATTCCAACCTTCGTGATTCTATGATTCTATACTATAAAAATAATTATACTCAGTAGCTGGGTACATTCCAGTGCAAATTTTCCAAAGGAAGAAAAGATATATAGACGGACAATTCAGTTACTTGTTATTATGTCTGCCCTGTTCAGTGCAAATTCCTCTATCACAGGATGTGATAATATCAATAAAACTACATAGGTATGACACTTAAATCTGGTTTGCATGTGTCCTCCTATATAAAAAGTCACAAATGAAACAAACTCAGAGAAATAAATCTTTTGAAAAGAAGACAATTCAGGCTAGAAGAACTGGATGCAAATACTGCCAACCTTACAAATGTACATGTTATGAATTATAAAACTTTTTAAAATTTTATGAATAAATATATTTGCTTTCCATGTGCTTATGTACTTTATATTTTCTCTGTCCTTAAGAAATGACACAATAGTACAGGGAATTCAATTACTATCTTCCAATCTCTAGGCAGAACCAAATGTATTTTCAAGAGTCACATTTACATTTCACAAAACCAAATAATAAAAAAAAAAACAACAAAGAGATACGCTCACAATTTCTCTGAGCTAAGTGATATATGCATATTCTGAATATCTTCTGCTTTTCTGCTTTTTTTTTTTTCGTCATTTTTTTTTCCTAAACACCACAACTGTCTGCCTCTCTTTCTTTCCTTAGTCTTCAGCATGAATTCACATAATAGGAATATATAAACAAACATACTGAAAACTTCCTTTTCCTTAAGATTGATACGTAATGCTAGACAGTCAAATAGCTTAAATAACTTACAGTCATTTGTATCCTTCAAAAATTTAATTTTAAGAAACAACAATAAAAGCTCTATTGAGAACCTTTCAATAAACATTTTTAACAGATCAATAACTATCACTAAGCTCCTAGGCAAACATTTTATCTTACAACAATAACAAATCCACTTTAATGAAGATTATGTACATACACATAAAAAGTGTTTTGTTTGTTTTTTATATACTTCTCAACACCAAAATTTTATATATATACAATAAAATATACATTTTTCATTCCTGCCTTTATGTCTACCTTTAACTTTAAAAAAAAATGTTCTTTTTTATTTAAATAAGTCTCAAAACAGGAGTAAAAACTAAACAAAACAGTTTTCATTGCTCTGATGAGACAATATATTAGCCACTTTAAACACATTAATAGATAACTCAGCAAAAGTTTCTTCTTTTCCAAAATAATATAGACCAAGAACCTTGATCAGCTTTGCTAATAAGAAAAGATTTTAAATGCCATCCTAAAAAGACTCAAATAACTTTCTTCTTTTTTTTTAGTCTAAAATGATGGAAATGTGAGCGTACAAAAGAAAAAAAGGAAACAAAAATCTACATGCTTTTTAATCAAAATTACAAAATCATTCCAATGTCTGCTATTATTACAATGAAGAAATTAAGCATCATGGAACCGTGGAGAAAGCAGAAAATTAATATTTTTGGCATTCTGTTCTGGATGTAAGGGTATTTTGGCATTCAATATAATACTGACAGGAATATTTACAATGTCATGAAGATGTTTTTCTTGGTGTCATTGAAAGGAGTATTACTTTTTCTTAAAAGTATAAATTTTTCATGTGGAATTCCTCAAACTTAGAAGAAACTTCTTGATTGCAGTAAAAATTTCAGTAAAAAACAAACAAACAAAACCTTCTTAAATAATTGAAAAAAGAGCAAATATGATACAGTGTGATAAATTTAGCTTAAACTATCACTAAGGTACAAAAATCAAGTGATTTTTTGTTTATGGTGAAGACAATCAACAAGAAAATGGGTAGACGTAACTCAGTCTAGTTTCCAGAAAACATTAAACAGTATTCAGTAGGAATGTACTGCAGTCAAACTAATCACCTTCAGAAATGCTCTGTTTTGAGATTCAAGTATATATGATTTATCAGTAGATTTAATTAGTAATTAAATATTTATATCAAACTGGCCATTTAATGCCTTCTAAATCTTTCAATACAAGTCTTGTGATGAAGAAAAGAGTCACTTACCTAACACGCCCAGCCTGTAATTGAGGGTGACAACAATGACATTTCCATAACTTGCAAGAATGCTCCCATCAATCATGTTGCCAGTACCCTCCATGTAAGATCCGCCATGGATGTAGACCATAACTGGTTTCTTGCTGTTCTGATCATGAATGTCTGAAAAAATTCAAGTAATGAAAACATAATAAACTAATAAAAAAAAAATGAAATTTGGCATTAGTATTTTTTAAAAGTGCTAAAATTATTCAGTTGTTTCTCATGTTTTCCATGTCATCATCACCACTTTATTCAGCTATTTTACACAGTTCAGGATCATTCTACAAGCCCAATATTTTTACACTTTTCATATTTCTTACTATTTCTTACTTCAAATGCCATTTTTATTAAATGTTTTCAGAATCCCCTTAAAAACTTTCCATATTGCAGAAATTTAATTTGAATGTAAACATCTAAAATCCAAAGGAAAAAAAAATAAAATTCTGGAACAATCTTGATTTTTTTTTTTTTTTATAGTATATTTCAATTTGGTTCTATTTCAATTTACAAATATATGTACATTTAATAACAAAATGACAATAGTGTTTCATACTTTCCCATTCCTCAGTGAGACATATTTGTTGAAATTACATTTCCTATAGTTCAGTAACAGATAATATCACAAAAACAAATTGTTCTGAATAAACTAAACACAGCAAAATATCATTTCTTTTTTAATAGCCTAGGAGTAAAGAAACACTGAGAATTTAAGTGAATATTTGGCTCAGATTTTTTTTTAATGTAAATCATGATTTATTTTTATTTTTCTTTTTTTAGCAGCTAAACAGTAAAGAATATTCTTATATTTGTGGTCATGAATTGTATGCATAATCTTTGGTACACAGAGAAAAATTACTTATAGCTTTCATGCAGATAAACAGTTGGATCTTACTTTCCAAAATAAGGTAACTTCTGAGTGAGATACAAAGTTGGACTAATCAATAATTTAGGCATTTTTTACTACATTTATATTTCTAATAATGAAATAATAAGCCCCCTCATCAGACTAATTAACTTAGGAATTAGTTCTCGCCAAACTGTGGGAATAATATACCTTAGAAAGCAGAACGGTATTCAGCACGCTGCTGTTGGAATTAACTATACACTGTTTACAAACAATTCACTGTATCTGCATGTGGAGTAGGACCACTTGTTTCAATTAAATAATACAAAACACTGGAGAAAGCAATGTCTCTGACTACATAGTCAGCATTTAGAAACAAACAGAAGCAACTGAGCTCTCTTCTGAGTAATTTTCAACAGTTGTGTTGAACAGTGGAAAAAATAAGAGGAAGAATAGGCTGAGATGAAAGAGGAGTGACTTTGAAAGCCTTTAAGGCTCTCAGCTCCCTCAGATTTGTTAGGATTAACTCTCAGTCACCAAGAACGCAAGCAGCAATGAGCCATCCCATATACAATATTTTGTATATAAGGAAGAAATTTGAAAGTATTTCAAGGTAAATTGTGACTGGTCATATTTCTTTGGCAAAATACCACTTTGCTCATGCAAATATCAGAAGTCATCAGTTGAGTGAAAGGCCAATATGGCCAAGTGTACATCTTTATAGCTGTTAGAATTTAAGACTTCTCATAGAATCTGCCTTCTGGTCATGAATATATATACTTTACATGTTGCATTTTATATGTTACATCTAGGCAGCAGAACAAAATGCTGTATGATAAGATTTGTGTAATTTTTGCAACTATTAGAGGGATTCAGACATTAAAGAGGTCATGTGAAGCAATGAAGTACATAATAATAGATTAGGTGTTTTTCTCTTTGCAGCATTCACAGCAAAGTACATGAAAAGAGTTTCTTTGTCCTGTGAGGGCTTAGCTCTCAGAAAATTAAAGCAATAAGTACTAAATGAAATTATTTGTGTTACAGAACAACCTTCCCTTTCTCTTCACAAAAGTCTTGTGGCATTATTCGTTATATTCTATCCTTTCTTATTGCAAAGTACGTCCTCAGGGTTGAATCTTTCATCACTGAAATCAATGAGAGATTTTCCCTTCAGTGGGAACATGATTAACTTCAACATAAAGGAAATGAGCTTCATGCATTTTATGTATTTAGTTCCTAAACTCTAAGTCTTTGTTTGGATCTGAAGTTGGATACTAACACTTTATAACTTTTGAAGAAATCTGAAAGAATTATTTGTTCATAATCAAATACCTAATTTTTAAGAGCAATTTTGTTTTCACTTGCTATTTATCTTTTGCTTAAAAATTGACCATGGAATCTGTTATATCAAATGACAATACTGTCATTTTGAAAAGGCATATGTAGAAACACATTTATAAACAGAAATAGAACAAAATTCAGACAAGAACAGAAGAAGTCTGCAGAGCATTTTTTTGTTACAATAAATAGTGTAATTCAGAAATGAAGGTTGTGCAGTAGAGGACAACCACTGTGAATTGAAGACCAGAGACTTTTATTGTGGTATTTCATACATGGATAGAGTAGCTATAATTGAGCTGAACACCCAAGCAAGAGGAAATTAAAAAGTAACGTCAACACAGTATGCACAATTCTAAGGGGAACCAATAGGGCAAAATTTTTCAAATGCACTTGAACTTCAGTTTGAAGAAAACTATAAAGGCACTTTGGAATGGTCAAGAAAGAGAAAGAGACACATTACTGCAAAAAATAGAACAACAAACTCCCTAAGGTGGTGATCTGCTCATTTAATTTGAAAATACTTTTCTTAATTTGTAAGTACAAAAAGTATACTAAAATGCCAGTGTAACATAAATGAAAAGGATGGTGAGAATAGAGAAATATTTCATGACTTCTTTCTATATCAGGGCATCCTGCCTTTTCTGTGTCAAGGCAAGAAAAAAGAGTATTTCCTTGCAAAACATTTTTGGGGTACTTCATTGTGAACTTTATTTCCTTTCAGGGAATCCAGTCCAACTCAGAAAGAAGTCAATGAAAAAGATTGTCATTGATTTCAGTGGGAATGTGGTCATAGCCAGAATGAATGTATCTCAGAGGCTAGCTGATTGCAGGGAAAACAAACAAACAAACAAACAAAAAACAATAAAGCGACATCAACAGCTTCTTTTACTTTTATATCCTAGAAATAAACCACATCGTGTGAGAAACATATATAAATTAAAATACCAAAGATGAAGCACAACGCAACTGCATTTAATGTACAGTAAGTGCACTGGGGAAACAGTGGAAATGAAATAAAGTATGTATGCAAGCTGTTTTCATGAATTTCAAACAGGTGAATTTACAAAAAATGCAAGAGGGAGAAGAGCACATGCATGTTTTTAAATTCCATTTTCTCACCAAATAAAGTATATGTGAGGGGAAGTATGTGATTTTCAAGAGTGTTCTTGTTACTCACTTCACATACATTTAGGAATAAACTTTGCACTTATGTTACAAGGGAATTTCAGTTATCTAAATGTTAATTTGGATTTTAAGAAGAAAAACAATTGATGTTACCTCTAAAGAAGAAAATAAAAAAGCACACAGAAGTGTGTTTCTGCAAATAAGGGACTAAAAATCATGTTGAAATAACAGTAATAACAATAACAATAATAATCAATGTTATTATAATAAAAATGTAAAAGTTTATGTTCATGCATCAGGGTTGAGCTTTGAAAAAACAAAAAATACCTTCATCTTCACCACGATCATTACTGGTTATATCATCTGCGCTTTTCTTTGTGTTGGCTCCTGGGATCATATTGAGGAGGAGAATAAAGGGAAAAAAGAGAATTCAAAAACAGCAGGTTCTCAAAAATAAAAATAAAAAAACAACTAGTACAAAAACAAAAAATGTAACAAAAATATCAAAATCTGTTACATTTGAATTTGAAAAACAAAAAAGATGCAAACTGCACATAAACATAAAATGTCAAGAAGAACAAATTGAAAATATTTGAAAAAAATGTATCAGTCTGTGACAATGCAGTTACTTCAGTTAAAAGTGATTGCTGCAAAAAAAAAGCAAAATTAATGCGCAATTAAAAAAGAATATAAACCAAAAAGGTATATTAAAAATTTTACGAAAATATGGTTTCTACATAAGAAATGAAACTGATTTAATTATGTTCTGTTGCCTTGAAGAGGCTTCAGTCAGTATCTTCAATGACTTCATGTTTTATTCATTCTTGTGAGGCTTTATTAGGAATTAACCTAAATCTTAAATGAAACCAATAGAAATAAAATTATCATTAAATCTTACACAATTTGAAAGGACCAAGAAAAAAACATAGTAGACTTCTTTAAAATTTAGTTTTCTTTCTCATGGGAGCAAAAAGATATTCAAAACAGAAAACTGAAAACAAAGAAGAAACACAAAATTGAGTCAATCCCAGACATGATTTTTTTTTTCCAAAAGTAGCCCTTGTTTGTATTATGCTACTCAAACTCTGTCGAAAACATAGAAATGGAAAACAGATACTTACCATGAGAAATAATTTGTGCTTTTTATTTACAAAAGAAAAGCTAATGAATAAATTTTAATCTGTATTTAATATATTTTCACAACACACTTTTGAGGCACACATACATGTATCCACACACACTGTAGCTTGTGTTTATGGAAGGTAGATGAAATAAGCCTAACCATTTTCCTCATCCCAATCCTTGGTCAATTTATCTGTTTTCTGACTAAAGAAATGGCACTAATCTTTCCATACTATGTTTCATTATGCTGTTATTACTCCGCTAGTAAGTGTTTTGCAATTAATAAAAAATAAATGTTATGCAATAAAGAATGAAATATGAATCAGAAGCTCTATTTCTATCTTTGTACAGAAATCAAATATGGCTGTTAGGCAAACAAAGTGGTCTAAGTCAACATTCTAGCAACCTTTTTTTTTTTTTTTTTTTTAATTGCCTTTTTTAGGGTCTGTATTTTCAAGCCAGACTGAAAAGGAACAATAAACTTGATTGACTTCGAATTTGCACACCAAGTGTAAATATGGCACATATACAGCAATGCTACAATATGATATTTAAACTATGAGCTTTAGATTTCTACATAGTTGTTGGTCATTTCACTCTGTCCCTTTCCTTCAAAAGCAAAAGCGTATGTTTCGCTGATTTGGCTGAACACAGGAGGGACAATTTTTGGAACAGGTTAATATAAAACTGAAATGTATTTAATTACAGAATATTGAGTGGGAATGTTGTTTCCTTACCTATTGTGTAATGCATTTTCATTTTTCTGTTAGTAACTGAAGTATATTTTTTAAAGTAAGTTCTTGTCCAGGATGTTGGTGTGAGGATTGCTCTTTTTGAGATATCATTTAATCAATATGTTAGAACATCAATATGTTCTAAAAGAGGCTTCTGTGTTCCTACCACATCGTATATTGTGCGTACTAGCCAGTACTCACATACAAGCCATATCAGTATGAATCTGCTTGAAGAGAACAAAAGTGTTATTGTTGGAATTATTTCAGAAGTATCAAAGACACATAAGATACTTAGGAACAGTTCAGAAAAAAATTATATTGACTTTTTGAAAATATAAGCTTGCAGAACTTTATTACAGGTAGGAAAGATTTGGAATTTTCCAAGTTTTCTGATTCTTTTAAAATGTGGAATAATTTATCCTGAACCTTCTGTAAGAAACTGTTAACCCCTGTGATAAGGGGAGGAAGGGGGGAAGGAGAATAACTAACTAAATAAATGAATAAGACATGCTACCCATGATTAGTGTAAAATTGCATTCGTGTCCTCAATCAAAAGAGACAGAATGGGAATGTGACACAGATTCTTCTGTGATGAAAATTCAGTTCACCAAGATGAACAGTATTTAGTACTTGCTCTACAGACCAGAAAGCCCTCCTCCTTGAGGCTTCTCTTGAGGGGGGTGCTGTGATGATAGTATTTTTTCCCCTATATAAATATAAAACTCACTGCAGCAATTTTAACCTTTGGATTCCCACACAATAGATGAGCATTATCACTGATTTATAGGATTGGTTATTCTGCAGATTAACAACTATTTATCTGTTTAATGAATATTTCCCACATAAAATATAGATGATAAATCTTAACAGTAATCCTGGAACCAGCAGAAGAGCACAGAAGAGTGCAGATACTTACTAGTGATGATCTAGTGCAATAAAGACTAAGTTTCAAAAGTGTCTCTGTTCAGATATGGAGATATTGGTGTGATACCTAGATATGTTCACAGAAGATTACATTTGTAAGAGCGCTGCATATTAAATGTTGAGTGATGTCAATTCCAAAAAGGCATGGCATAATTCCTCACTGAAGTGCGGCAAATATATTTTTTTAAGGAAATTTGCTTGGCCAATTTCTTATTGTTGCTTTTTTTTTTTTTTTTTTTTTTTTTTTTTTTTTTTGCAGGGGGGCGGGAGGGAGGGGATATATTTTGATATTATAACCACATATGTTTGCAAATGTGAGCCACTTCCAAAGTATTAGCAATCAGTCTAGATGAAACTGTACAGTATTTCATTTGGGCCACTTTATTTCTCCTTAAAAAGCTTTTTATGGAATGCAATTTTAAGCTTTAATTCAGCAAGCATCTCTCTTTTAAAGTATTTCATTCTGAAATTCTGTACTAATTGAACTTACAAAATTAATTAATTTCACTTATCAATGAATGAAAGTTGTTCCTGTATTATTAGATTAATTATGGATGCCCATATATCTTTACTGAAAATGAAGAAGTCATACCACTCAGTCAGTCAAGAGTTCACTGTCTCACATTCCCTTTTATTATGAATAAGAATCTCATTCAGAAGTAGATATTCTGGAGCTTTAGGTTTTCCTAAATATATTTGCAATTTGTGCTAAATCTTTCTCCTCTCAGATATATATCATATATGTGCAATGCATTCAGTTCCTCTGCATGCAGTTTACCAATGCATTTCAAGTACCCATTCTGAAGACTAATGACAGCAGAAAAATAGCTGCAGTGATAGCTGAAGCATTTTTTATTTTTTGTATTTTAAATGTAACTGTTCCACCTATCATATGGTAACCTTTTAACACCATGTAATTTTGAGAAAGCACTCAGTTTTCAGGAATCACACAGCACATTATGAATAATACTAATTAGGCCTCCCAGTTTCATACACTTACTCAACTTTCTCGAAAGCTCAAGCTCAATCTAGATGAATACAAGATTTAATTGCCATTCTTTCAGTGATATGTGATATGTCTATTTGTGCAGCTCTTTCAATAGATCTCTAAAGCTCTTGGTTTCCCATCCCAGGAGAGCTATCACAGTTTTACAGTCAGCTCAAGTCAGCAGTTCACTACTGTCTCAAGGGGGCAATAGGAAAGCAGAACTGTATTTTCTGCATTTTTCCCAGGACTGCTTTTTCGCCTTTATCTTGATTTTCATGTAGTGTACAAGCCATAAGTCCTTGGCTTGCAGCTATGGCCAAAACTTCAGCTACCTTTGTAAGTGTACCAAGAAGGTCTCATTTGGCAGCTGAAAAAAGATCAAAAGAGACATGTAGACATTTCAAATAAAAGTGGAGGAAGAAGATTATTGAGAATTACAGCTTGTCAAACTGTCTTAGAATCTGTCTGTGGATCATGTACACTAGGAGAGATCTCAAAGAAAGGCAATCAGCTCTTCATCTATCTCTACTTTAAAGACTGTTGATTTTGTATGAAGACATACACTCGTAACACCTAGATTTCAATATCCTTTAATTTTTGTCTATTTAATGAATACTGCCAATATGTAAGAGCGTTTATAAATGCATGCATATATTTGAAAAGTTTGTATGCAGACATACATTAAAAAACTGTATATAGTTAACAGAATTCCAGAAGGAACACAGGTTTATTCTATGGCCCTCTCACCCCACAAGGGTGGCATAATGAAATGAAAATCTGTCTATTTTTCATGCAAAAATTTAACCTGTTGCTGTCAACATGCGTAGCAACTAGGAAATTTGATTTTACTTTCTGAGATCAGAAGGATAAGGAATATATGTACACCCTGGAGCTCCCACATTGTAGTATAACAAAAAATATAAATAAATAATATTGAATTTGTGTTCATATACAGCACTTTCTTAATGGCTCCAGCTGCAATACTTGAAAAAAAATCACTAGACTTTCAGACTTCAGCAAGTGTGTGTAGCTGCATCAATACAGACAAGAAATATTTATTTTCAAGAAAAAGAGAATTAAATAACAATTTTGTGTCATGTTCAAAATTGAATGGGCAGAAATAAATTCCTCCTCCTTACAGAATTTTGCATTTCAGGCATTAGTGAAGATTACAAAGAAAAGAAAGAAAGAAAATGCTGTTTCACAGGCTTCCTTCAAATGCAGTTTTAGAGAACAAATAACAAATCTCCATAGAGACTTCTATAGAAAAGGATACAAAATCACAGATTGCAAAAGGTTTGCATGAAAATATGAAATTCTAATAAACTCAGCTTTGTACATTGTGTACAGTTTTCAACTTCATGATTACATCTGCTTTTGTTTCAGACAGATTGTTTGCATCTCTCTGTGCTTTGACATTTCCATGTATAGAGAATGAAAGCAGAATGAAAGTCATAATATTTAACAAATCACAGTACTCTCAATATTGTTCCTCATAAATAAAGACAGAAATAATGATTCCTCTATGTGCAAAATTATGTGTTTCTCACAAGCCATTTCCCAGGGCAACAATAAGTGCATTAAATTAGGCAGTAACTAAGATTGGCATTCTTTAAATG